TAGATTCGTTATCTACAGATATACTAACATTACATAAATATATACCAATTGAGTTTGTTCGTCACACGCGTGGTATAACGAAATAGACCGATGGAAAGCAACCGAATTCAGATTGTTTCTTTTATATCTTGGACCTATAATTTTAGATAAATACTTAGACAAAGTTTATTTGAAACATTTTTGCGTTATACATACCGCTGTAAGAATTTTGTGTCATCCAGAAGATTGTTTGCGCAATAACGCGTATGCAAATGAATTAATGACATACTTTGTTAAAACATTCAAAGTACAGGGTGACCAATGGGAATGTGTTGAAAGTAAATAGTTATTACTTTGTAACAAATAGGCCGAATAAAATGAATTAAACGCCATTTTGTAGAGAAAACTTGTCAATTTTATTACCATATATATGGAAAAGAAATATAATAATTTAACAATTGAAATACACAATATTAAAAAAAAGAAAAATTTTGCTTGCGCATATGAATTAATGGTATATGTTTTCAAAGTGTTGTCCATTAGAATTAGCACAGAACTGCAATCGTTTGCAAAAACTTTGAAATACATTATCTAACATAGATAATGTATTATGTTTTGAGGAAAGGTGTAGGAATGCTGCGAGTGCATTTTTTAATATTATTTATCAGCTCTGCGGTGTTTTGAGGTTGTACGGCGTAACATTTGTCTTTGAGGTAACCCCAAAGAAAAAAATCACACGGGTTCAAATCAGGTGAATAAGGAGGCCATTCCAGACCTCCATGAGCAAATTTCGGGTATCCTAATCCAATTACTCTGTTGCCATACACTTCATGTATCGATTCAAAGACTTTGCGTGTACGATGTGGGGTCGCGCCATCCTCCATAAAATGGAAGTTCTTTACTAATCCGCGTTTCTTTGCATGGGGAAAGAATTTAGTCTCCGATAATTCTTTATAACTTTGACTAGTCACAGTTCCTTCAAAAAATTGCAGGTAGACCCCTTTTACAGAAATTGCAGCCCACGCGGAAACCTTTTGAGGATGAAGAGAAACGGCAATAGACACGTTTGGATTTTCCTGTCCCCAAAACCGATAATTTTGTTTGTTGACATATCCGTTTAACCAAAAGTGAGCTTCATCCGTAAATATTATTTGTTTTTCATCGAGTTCCTCACTTTCAAACATATTGGTTATCACCTTACAAAACTCAACTTGTTTTTCCATCGCTTTCTCCGTCAGCAATTGATGTGTAGTGATTTTGTAGGGATGCAGTTTAATGACGTATCTCATTATTTTTCGGAGAGTTTCTCGCTTTAAATCCAAAACCTGAGCAGCTTTCCCAATCGAGGTGTTTGGATTTTTGTCAAAATAATTTCTAACGTCATCAATTGTTTCGTCCGTTGTAACGGTACGAGATGGACCAGGTAAATCATGTCTACGATCGTTCAAAGTGCCATACATACCAAAATTATCAATAATCCTGCCAACAAATATTGACAAATAAAAATAAAATTTCACCTAACCAACATTGGAATGATGACGCGATTCCAGGGAGAGGGAGCGTGGGTAAAAAGTATCAAAAACATACCTTCTGAGTATTGTTTCGCTTGAAACTTTTTTAGATCCATATTTACTACGGAATCCACGATACGCTTGACTATAGTTTTTGCCTCTACTATAGAAGCACTCGATGAGAAACACTTTTCCTTCGATGCTTAGCGCGTCCATCCTATAACTCACAAATCGGTTTATACGACGGTTCAAATGAAATTGACGGGTCTTAGGTAGCGGACCCTAGTCGGTAAAACAGTTACCAAAATCGAGGAGGGGATATATAACCGTTTACTTTCAACACATTCCCATTGGTCACCCGTATAATAAGCAGGGATCAAACCCAATTCGACAGCGTGATAGCCTAGGGCCTAAGTGCCCGAGCTACGCCGCCATCTCGACAACCGATCCAACAGGACCGGAATATAAGGGACGCCATAAACTTCAAATCGATTTTTCTCGAAAACGGCTAAGCGTTGCGCCCTATCCTTTTACTCAAGTACTCTTCTGATAGAGTACTATACCGTATAAAAATTTCTTTGAAATCGGTGACCCGAAGTCCGCGTCCTCCCCTTGTGAGATCAGTGTACAATCTAACTGTCTCATGTAAACTAATTTACTAATTTCTTTAAGAAAAATTAAAAATTTAGCACTAACATCCTGCGACGGCTCTTAATGCCATTCCATTATATTTCTCGTTTGTTAACATATGGTAGCCTTTCCATTATA